AAATAATAAAAATAGGGTAACTCTCCCAAGATCACTATAGCCACTAAGTGCTACACTTGTAATATTATCCCAATCCATCTGATGGGAGCACCACAGTCTCAAAAGCAGCCCATTCTAACACTCAAAACCCTCTCGCATTCCTTGCTATTGTGTTGTAATCAACCCTCAGCTGACCCTCCAATGGGTTTTTCCAGGCTGTAAATTGCACAGAAGGAGATTGGCCATCTTTCTCCCTGGGAGCCACCAGTAGATATGAACTGCCGGAGAGATCTGCCTTTGCGTTAGCGGCACAACTCCACACTGACTATAACACCATGAAAGTTACTCTTGTGTCTGGTTCTACTCTCAGAAGAACAAAATGAATCTGTGTTTCCTACACATGACAATCTCTCCTCTAACACTGACAACTAATGTATCTCCTTTTAACTCTCTGCCAGGACAATCATGACTTCCACCAACCTGGTCACTTTACTCTAAAAGTTGTTGTTTGTTTTAATGTCTTGAGCTCTTTATTTTATTCCCATTTAAAATCCACAAATTTCAGATGTGTAAAACTAAAGCCTAGAGATTAAGAAAAACATTTGGCAATAACATATCCAGCAAGAAACTAATCTCTAAAATTTTCTGAATACTTCAATACTTGAATCACAAATAGACAAAAGTCCAATTTAAAAAAAACTGAGAAGAGCACATGAAAAGATAGCTCACCAAAAGACATCTTAAGATGCTCAACAAACACATGAAGAAATGCATGCAATCATTACCTTTTAGGGAGATGTAAATAAAAATAAAACCTCAAAGAGAAAAAAGAACAATAACTTGGGAATAGAAATAACTATTTCATTCAGCAAACCTACTACAAGGTCTATATCCTAAAGAAATAAAAGCTGAGAACTAAAACTTTATTTACAACAGCAAACAGATGGAAACACTCTAGATACCCATCAACAGGTGCATGGATAAACAAACTATGGTCCATTCACAGAATGGAATATCAAACAACACTGAAGTATAGTGCCAAATTTGAGAAACACTGCATAATATTTATGAAATAGTTCCTTCATAAAAGACAAATATTGTATGAGTCTACTGTTATAAAAAAGCTAAGGAAAGATTTATACACAGAAAGAAACATCCTTTGGTGTTTAGCAGGGATGAGAGAATGAGGGGGAAGAGAGGAAAATCAATAACTAGATAGTCATTGCCATTGAGTCAGAACTGAATTATAGCTGTATGATTTTCCGGAGGCTGTACATTGCACAAGAGATTTCCTATTTTTCTATCATAGAGTTGATGGTAGATTTGAGCCCTCAAAGCCACACCACCTTTATCTTAGCAATACAACTCCCTACAGACTATGCCACCAAAGCTCTCTATCTAGACAACAGATATGTATTAGAGTAGTGATGGGAAAGACAATAAACAATAAGGGGTTTGTTAAAACAACGTCACTATAGAAAGGGAAGACATGGAAAGATGCACAAGAGACACAGACACCAAAGGAGACATCACAGGTACAATCCTACATTATCAGTAATGACAATCATTATTCTACAATTGGGCATATAAGTAGACAGGCAAGATGAACAGAGACAGGTGAAAGTGGCTATACCGATGACTATACACAGGTTTTTCAGACAGTTCGACATGGATATTTGCCTATGTTGTATATCCACGTATAAGACAGAGTCTATATGTGGCAAAGGTTTGTAACTTATTTTTGTTGTTGTTAAGTAATGTTGAGTCAAGTATGACTCATAGCGATCCTATGAACAATAGACCCGAACCCTGTCCTACGCTATGCCATCCTCACACTTCCTGACACAACAGAGCCCATTGTTGTTGTGTGCTGTCAAGTTGCCTGCGACCCTACGTACAGCAGCTCTGAAGCCTGTCCTGTCCTGAGCCAGTCTCACTGACTCTGACATACCAACCCCCATTGTCTTAATTTCTGTATCTATCTATCTCATTCAGGGTCTTCCTCTCCTGTGCTTTCCCTCTACCCTTGATGTCCTTCTCCAAACATTGGTCCTTCTTGCCCATATGTCCAAATTATGTGAGATGGAGCTTCAAAATCCTAGCCTCCAAGGAGAAACTTGGTTTCACCCTCTTCAAGACAAATATATTTGTTTTCTTGGTGGTCCATGGTATGTTTAAGACCACACCACAGCTCAAAGGTATCAATTCTTCTGTCATCCTTAGTCATTGTCCAGCTCTCTGATACCTAGCAAGTAATTGCAAAGATTATGGACTGGATCAGGCACATCTTAAGTCTCTAGACTGACATCACTCTTTTTCAGTGCTCCGGAGAGGTGCCCGACAATGGATTTACCTAATGCAATTCACCTTTTGATTACATTAAAATTTTCAGCAAATATTTATTGAAAATCTACCACATGGTGTGCATTCAAACTAAGTGCTTGAAAAACAAATTAGCTGAAGCATTAACTAGTGATTACATGACCATTTTAGATTTTAGAAAATATGCTGGGATATTTCCTCATTCTAGTGGGACAGTGCAGAAGAGGAAGACTCCGATGAGACGGATTGATAGGGCAGGTTTTGGAGCTGCTGTTCATAGGGTTGCTACAGGTGGCAGGCGACTCAATGGCACATAACAACAAGAAGACTTTTCTCATCAGTGAGTTTTCTGCAATATATTTTCAAATAAAAAATACACCTTTTCCTGTTGAGGTTAGTGACTATGGAAATCTTGACTCCAATAAGGCGGCATGCTGGGGCCGAGGGAGGTAACGTACTCACCTCTAGTTTTGCATCCAGGTCTGCGTCAGAAGCAACAACATGTTCATCTTCTTTCTTCCCTGTGGCTTTAATAAATGCCTGCTTTGTTTCCCAATACTTCTGTTGCATTTTATTTACAACTGATTTATCTTGAGCACAGCGATCATGTAAGTCCCAGGGATAACTGCTGAAGACAGTAAAGGGTTGCTTTACTTTTTACTTTCCTACAGACTGAGATATGTTAGTCTGAAAAGAATTTTATCTAAATATTCCTCAAGAGACACCTTCTTATATGGTCATTATACCAAGAACACAAGTTAACTCTAACTTGCTCTAAAACTTCAAAGTTAAAGAGAGGAAACTTAGAAGCTTTAGGAGAAGCTGAGAGCATAAACCTTGTGAAGGATTCTGGACAAAGACATTTCCGTGAGTCAGAGAAAGTCAGACACAGACACTCTCCTGTCCCTAGCACTCTAGGCGATATTTATGATGGCACAAAGGAGATAAGAGGCTGACAAAGAGCATGCTTAGATCTGATGCTAGAAACTGCAAATTCTTAAACAATTAAAACATAAGTAACTTTTCTGGAAAAAAGAAAAAACTCATACGCACGCGAGTCAAATGAAAACAGTATATAAAAGAAGGACTTGAATAAAAATTTAAAATTAAATAGAATTTATGAAAATAGATAATAGAAAATGCTAGCAAAAAGTTTATCATTTTAGGTATTCCTTCTTCTTGCTTTGTCTACATTTGCTTGTGATATAAAGTTACTGTCCCAAAGGCCCACATCAATTTCAAGCCTTTTCCTTCTGTAGACAATCCTTCTCTCCTCCTTTTACTCCATTCCAGTGTCATTCCAAATAAGCTAAACTGCATCCAAAAACATCAGTTGCTTTATACGAAAAAAAAAAAAAATGCAAGAAAAACTAAAAAAAAAAATACTTATCACAGAAGTACTTTTGCATGTAAGAACAGAAAGTGTACCATGGAGTTTCCAAAGGCATTTGTTAAGTGTATCACCAGGTCTTTCTTCCAAGGCCTCTCTGTGTGGACTTGAACTGCCAATCTTTTGATTAGTAGCTTATCATGTTAATGGTTTGCACAACCCAGAGACTCCTGAATTTTCATAGCCTCAAGATTTGATGATTCATATTCTTCCAGCTACAATTTATAATCATAAAATGACATATTTTCCTTAAAATGTCTTGGAAAATATTGAGATAACTTTCTAAATAATGGCTATCTTTGCAGCTATTTTTAGAGTAAGACTCTAAGAGACTTTCCCATTTAACTTTTTATCTATATTATCAAACAATTTTATTACGGGTTTACACTGGAAACTATGTAAAATATACCCTTGGGGGCTCCACTGCTAACTCAAAGACAACTCATCTCTCATGGTTCAAAAGTATAAAATGGACAATCTTATACTAGGCAATTTCCAGCTATGGAGATCAAATGAGTCCGTTATGAGTCAGTTCTAACTACACAGCAATAAGTGCTCAAGACGTACATTGAAAGTCTAGAAACTATAACCCAAAGTACTAACTTTGGCTATTTCAGGAGAATGGGACTCCCAAGAATGGAGACTGAGTAGACTTTTTTTTATTATATCCTTTTTCTTGTAGACTAATAGGAAAAAAAATAATTTTGAAAAATTAGGTAAGATTGGCTATGTAGTAATGTCAGGATGTTGTAGTTGTTGTTTGGATCCGTCAAGTCGTAGACGACTCTTAACGACCCTATGAACGAACAGCTGAGCACTGGTCGTACAGTTTCCAGAGTTTCCAGAGGCAAACCATTTTGGAAGTGGATGTCGCTCCTGTCAGGATACTAGGTTTAAAAGAGCTAAGAGTCATGCCAAAAGCCATTCAGAACTAAAACTCAGGCTTCCAAAGCCTTGTGCAAGGAACCCTGATGGTAGAGTGATTAAGCACTCAGAAGCTAAGTCATTGGTTGGCAGTTCAAACCTACCAGTGGCTTTGTAATAGAAAGACTTGGTGATCTGGTCCTGTAGAGATTACAGCATAGAAAACCTGATGGCACAGTTCTACCTTGTCCTACAGGGGTAGAGGAAATAGACCAACAGCCCACCACCACCAAATCCTGATCCAGTTTTCATTTCAATGTGCCATGCAACTCATGAATTTTTAGAAAGCTTTGAAAAGGGAGGGTGAACAAGAAAGAGAAGAGTACACTTCTGAGGGCACGCCATTCTGTTGAACCTGCCGCCTGGATATGGCATTCAGTATAAAGGACAGGAAAGAGCCATCCACTGTCATAATAAGGCAAGAAGGAAAGCTTTTTCAAAAAGAAACCTTCCAGCAACTCTTAAAAAACTGTCAAATGGAATTATTCGGGAAAATGAAATCCCTTAGCTATTTATTAATTACCTTTAAGAACTCATTACACTTTAGCACATGCAAAAATTCTTTTGAAGTTTAACATGTTATAGTATAGAAGACAGGCCTGGATGAAAGGAGAAGGATTAAAAAGTACGTTTCTTATTTTAATAATTGTATATTTGAAAATGAAAACATGAGTCACATTTTTTCCCCAAGATATACTTTGTAGAAAGCAGACAATCTTTGTTTCATTGGTCATTGGTTTTTAAAGTTTAGAAGTAATGCTTGAATTTCTAAAAGGCTTAGTATATATTGCAGGCATATAGCTGACAGAAGGCAGTGCCATATAATCACAATGGTTTCACTTAGCATCATAGAGTACTTCCAGTCATGACTGGTTCTTTAGTGTTCAAGAAGGCTTAATACCATAGCTACAAAATTATAAGTCTGAGTATAGCTTATAAGTATCTGCTATTATATAGCTGTCAAACACAAAATTAGAGCTCTACAGCTAAAAAAAGATGAAAGATTCATTACTAATTACATTAAAGTTGGTGATAAACACTGTCCCCCCCAATATGTCTCCTAATAGCATAAACCCATTAAGAAAGAATTCGTGACATTTTTGGCACTTAGTTTTCATGCTACATTTAGTAGGGATATTAAAGCTGATTATACTCAACACAGAGACATCATGTTGGGAAAGGTAGGGGGTCAAGGAAAGAGAGAACAACCGTCGAAAAAAATGGACTGGCACAGTGATTACCACAAGGAGCCTGAGCAGGGCAGAGATAATGAGGATGGCACAGGCTAGGGCAAAGCTCAGAGCCGTTGTTCAAAGGGTCGCTATGAGTCACAGATGACTTGCTGGCACCTAACACAGGAACATACCCAGCACTGATTAGAAAGGAGCTAACAGGTTCTCTTATTGCTAATGTGTCTCTTGATTTTCCATTTTATGGACACTGAGCACTTAATACATTTTTTTTTGTTTAGTAAAATTGTTCCATTTAAAAAAAAAAAATAAACCTGCAAAATACTTACCATTTGTGTCCTGACATGTTTTTCCTTCTTCTTTTTCTACAGCTGATGATTTGGGAAGAAGGGACAGAGGAAAAGCATGGGAGGATAAGTTATATTATAACCTGAAATAAAACAAATATTTAACAGTTACATACTATATTATAATCACACATTAATTTGACGGTTTTTATAAAATCTAAGTAACTTTTAGTTCAACTTGACCATAATCGATGCTGATGAGAAAGGAGCCAAACACTATTAAAAAGTAACATTGTTCAGAAACGTGGAGCATAGTTTAGCTGGACAATACAAAATTTAACCCAACCCACTACTGTCCATTTGATTCTAACTCAGATAATCTAATCTTATAGTACAGGATAGAAGAGCCTCATACCGTTCGTTCCCAAGGCTTCAAATCTTTATGGAAGCAGATTGCCATATCTGGAGAGGCTAGTGGGTTTTCTGTGTCAACTTTTCAGTTAGCCACTGAATGTTTTAGTTAACCATTTTTCTACTAGGACTCCTAAACTGGGGGTAACATTGAAACAAAATATCTCAATTAGATAACAGGGAGAGTGTGGATGGGAACTGCAGTTGTAAAAGGTACTATATAGATCAGAGAGGATTTCAGGCAGTGAATTACCCTCTCTTTCTCTTGAGCAGTGCACTCACACACCACAGGAAGTCTTCTGGCCTGCCTGAGAACAAGAGAGGACTCCTGGCAGGGTGAGTTGCCCTCCTCTCCCCTGGAGTGGTAAGCTCTCCTGCTGAGGGAAGTCATCCTGTCAGCACCAGGACCACTGAGGGCTTCATGCAGGATAAGCTGCCCTCCTATGTGGAGGGGTTAACACTCCAGCCAACGTGAGTTTTCCCTGCCAGTCCCAAGACCATAGAGAACTACAGGCAGCCTATACCCAGCATTAGGAGACAGGTAAATGATGAATGCTGACCGCAAAGATTTAAGGAGGAAAGGGCTCTGAGCAGCATTCCTGGGATGGAAGTATTCCGGAGCCCTCCTAGCTTCCCTCAGGCTCTGCCATGGTGGAAGTGGCCCCTTACACTCAGCCTCATAAGACACAGGTACACCATAAGCAAGACCCACTAAGCCTTGGGGAAGCAAGGATTCCAGGTAGCATTTCTGGGACTTTTCCAGCTACCATCAGAATTTTTGTCTGTTTACAGGAGAAATAATCCCTCCTCACTTCATTCAATTCATATAATACTAAGGAAGAAGCAGGCAAGATCAAACACTATAAAAAAGCAAAATAAGCCTTCTCCTAAAAATCCAGACCAAATTGAAGACCCAATGAATACCACAGAAATAGGGAGGTAAAAGAAAAATGTCAACAAGGAGTTTCAAGAACCAGTTCTGAAGAAATTATGGAAATGATGGAAGAGTTAAAGCAGTAAGAGCAACAAGAAACTAAAAAATATTAATAAGACAGAGAGGATACAACCAACCTAGTGCCAGAAACAAAAGAAATGCATGGAATACAATCCAAAATATCAAAAGTGAAATGGCAGAAATTGACAACATGATGGAGGCACAGAAAAGCAGAACAGAAGAGATGGAACAGAGAATCAGCAAGACAGAAGACAAGAACCTTGAGGAGAATTTACAACAAGAAGAAGAAAGGGAGAAGATAGAAGAAAAATGAAGAAAACATTAGAATCATGTAGGATGACATAAAATGAAACAATATACATGTGAATGGTAGTCCAGAACAGGAATAACAAAATGAAAAAGCACAGAGAAAATTCTGGAAGAGATGTTAGAAGAAAACATGCTGGTATCATGGAAAATGAGGAAATGCAAATACTCAGAGCTTTGTCAACACCAAACAGACAAGACCTCAAAATAAAAACATCCAGATATATCATTGTCAAATTGCCCAAAATCAAACACATTGATAAAATAGTAAAATCAATGTGAGAAAAACAAAGAGTCACTTCCAAAGGAGAACCAATTAGATATAGCTGTGGCACAATGCAAGAAAGAAAACAATGGGATGATATATTTAGAAAGCTGAAAGAAAACAATTGCCAGTCAAGAAGGATCCTTTACCCAGCAAAGTTGCCCATCAATTATGTAGGAGAAATAAGGTCATTTGTAAAAAGCCAGAACTTAAGGAATTCGTGAAAACAAGACCAACTCTACAAGAAATACTAAGGGAAATAAAATCCTGCACAGAGAGACAACAGAGGAAAGTGGATGGACCAAAGTAACCAGCAACAACAGAAAAAAGAATGTACCAAAAAGGCAATGATAAAACCTAGTCTATCAATAATCACACTCAATGTGAATGGTTTAAAAGTACCAATTAAGAGAAAAAAGTAGCAGAATGGATGAAATAAACCAAAATGTTTCAATATGTTGCCTAAAAGAGAGATATTTAAGAAAGAGGTGAAAGATATATATATCTATATCTATATATTTTTTTTTTAACAAAGGGGGAAAAAATAGACCAAGCAAATGGCATCTAATCCATAAGAGCTAGAGTAGAGTGGATGAAAACCAGTAAGAAATAACAAAGGACAATACACTAATTAAAGAGGACATACCCTAAATAAATATCCACTGCTCAATGGAGGCAAGGATTCTGAAGCTTAGTCTGACATACTTTGGACATGTTGCAAGGCTGGATCAGTCCTTGGAGAAGGATGTCATGCTTGGGAGAGTGGAGAGAGCACTGAAGAGGAAGATCCTCGATGAGAAGGATGGATTCAATTACTGGGGTAATGGGGATAAGTGTGTAAGAGACATTAAAACTGGCACAGGATAGAGCAGGGTTTAGGACTGTTGTACATAGGGTCGCTATGAGTTGCAGGTGACTCGACAGCACATAACAACAATAACAACAACAACACATGCTAGAACTACAAAATACATGGAATTGTTAACAGACTTGAAGAAGAAAATAGACAGTACCACAATAATAGTAGTTGTTGTATACCCTTGAGTCAGAACTGACTCATAGTCCAATAGGTTTTAAGAAGCAGTGAGCTGCATGGAAATGGATGACCCATCTTTATCCCATGGAGTGGGTGGTGGATTCAAACTCTGTGCCTTTGAATTGACAACACAATTCCTTACCACTAGGCCACCAAAACTTCCTACAATAGTAGTTGGAGATTTCAAGACAATCCTCTCACCAAAGAACAGATAAATTTAAAACAAACAAACAAACAAAAAAACCACTACAAACTCAACAAGATGTGAAAAACTAAGCTATACAATCAGCCAACTTGACCTCATAGATATATTCAGGGTATGTTACCCAACAAAAACTCAATTTACTTTCCTCTCAAGTGCACACAGTACATTATCCAGAGCTGACCAAATATTATGACACAAAGTAAGTCTCAACAAATTTAAAAAAACCTGAAACAATACCAAGTATCTTCTGAGACCAAAATGTTAGAAAGATAGAAATTAACAAGAGAGAAAAGGAACACCCTTGTGGAATCTAAATTAACATTCTACTTTAGCACTACTGGGTTATAGAAGAAGTAAAAACTGAAATTACAAAGTTCCTTGAAATGAATGAAAATGCAGCATATAAAAAACTCTGGAACACAACTAAGACAGTCCTCACAGGGAAGTTTATAGCATAAGAAGACATATTAAAAAAAAAAAAAAAGAAGAAGAGCAAAACAAACTACTTGATACTTTCAGTAAATAAAAAAACAACAAAAAACAAACAAACAAACAAAAAAACAAAAACCCCAGCAAACTAATTCCACAACCTCTAGAAGAAAGGAAATAATAAGGATCAGGGTTGAAATAAATGGAATAGAAAACAAAAACAATTGAAATCATCAACAAAACCAAGAGTTGGTTCTTTGAAAAGGTTAATAAAAGAGACAAACCATGAGCAAACTTAACAAAATAAAAGAAAGAAAAGACACAATTAGAATAAGACATGAGAGTGGTAACATCACAACAAAGCTGGCCAAAATTAAATTGTTAACATCAGAATTTTATGAAAAGCTAGAGTCTGATAAATTTGAAAACCTAAAGAAAATAGATAAATTCTTAGAAACTACAAAATTTCCAAATAGACATAAGAGAATTAGACAAACCAATTACAAAAGAAGAAATTGAGCAAGTCATAAAAAGTCTCCTTCAAAAAAAAATATCCTGGTCCAGATGGCTTCAAAGGTGAATTCTACCAAACATTCAGAGTTGAACCATCAACAATTCTACTTAAATTATTTCAAAGAATACTATCTGAAGAAAGCCGAAGGATCCACATCTTACACCATACACAAAAATTAACTCAAGATGGATCAGAGATCTGGGAGTAAAACCTAAAACCATGAAGTTCATCAGAGACAAACTGGGATCAAGCTTAGAAGTCCTAGTTTACAGTATAAAGAGGACGTAAAATACAGCCAGAACTGCTCAGTCAGGAGAGAATAAAATTGATGAATGGCACCTTCTGAAGCTTTAATCCCTGTGTGCATGAAAAAAACATTTTCCAGTAGACTGAAAAGAAAACCTACTGACTAAGGAAAAACATTTGGTAATACAATCTCAGACAAGGGTCTCCTATCAAAAGTTTAGCTGGAGATAGAATGATTGATTTTTGCACAATCAATGACTTATTCATTGCAAACACTTTTTTTTTTAAATTTAGTTTATTTTTCATTTCAATGAACATCTACAGAGATTTTGGAATTCCATTCATTCATTGTTGCACACTTCTGCCCGCACAAACCCCTCCCCCCTCCCCCCCACCCCCGCAAACACTTTTTTAAGAGACATAACGCAGGTTATACACATGGATCTCACCTGAGGGTATGCATAGGAATCAGATGGATTACATCTGTGGAAAGAATCGCTGGAAGAACTCAATATCAGCTGTGAAAACTAGGCCCGGAACTGATTGTGAAACAGACCACCAACTACTCATATGCAAGTTCAAGCTGAAGCTGAGGAAAATTAAACCAAATCTATAAGAACCAAATTACGACTTTGAGTCTATCCCACCTGAATTTCAGAACCATCTCAAGAACAGGTTTGAGGCCTTGAACACTAATGAGCGAAGACCAAATAAGTTGTGGGAGGATATCAAGGGTATCATTTAAGAAGAGTGCAAACGTTCATTACAAAGACAGA